CATTAACGGGGTGCATCGTTACAAAGATATTCACTGTTATCAGTCTCATAATTTCCTGTCAATATTGGTTTTGTGTACATCGATATAGCAATTAGTTTTAAATTATTTTTAAATTGTAACGAATCTAAAATTGGATTTTTTTGTCGCAAAAGTGAAAATAGATTTTCTATATAGTCTTGTGTAAGACGACCAGTCAAAACAAATAGAAAATTGCGATGTTCTAAAAGATACTCTACTAAATCAATAATTGATGTTGTGGAAAGTATGATACCTCTTTGTACAGGTTTAAATTTATCTTCACTACCTATTTTTATATATTTTCGTAAAAAGATCTATTATTTCACGAAGAAAAAAAAGAAATACTAGCATTGTATATTTCTTTATTTTTTGTACCCAATGCCGTACAACATGTTCTAGAAGTCATTAAAGAGAACCACTTAGATAGTTGTTTAACGAACCATGAGGTTGTAATATATTCGGGCTTATGATTTTCATTAGCTAAAAATTCTAATGCACTACTGACATGGGTGGAGAAAACATTCTTTGCTTTGTTTACTCGCATTTTATTATAAGTATTAGTAGGTTTCACATCATCAAAATTTAATCTAGGCGTTAAAAAAAATTCGAGATCTTTCTGAGAATCTATTAATTCAATAAAATGTTTAATTTCAACTCTATTACATGGTACTTACTAACAAATTCTTCTGGTAAGATAAAAAATTTGTTGTTAAGTAATGATTCTTTTAAATTTTTCAAAAGGTGTGGTACATCTGCGATAAAATATAACAATCTATTAAGATCAGAAGGAATATGATTTCTAACGTCCGAATACCGTCCCACACTTATCCCACAACATTTCCATAGTTTGCTATTTCCAGGACCCATGTCAGAAGTTATATAGTTGACACGAAGAGCAATTAGTTTAGCTTTATCAATTATCTGAAAAATGATATCTTTTAAAACTGCTCCATCAAATGAGTCTCCTGTATAAAAATATCCTACAATGTGTTTCCATCGATTAGCTGTACCTGTTAACATTAATGTTAAAGCATGCGTTGCAATACCTTCTTTATTTGGAAATGTTATATTTCCTAGTAATGTTTTTGTTGAAGAATCATAAACACGCTTTGGTGTTATACTTATTTCATCAATAACAATTCCACATTCTCTATCAGTATCATTTTGAAAAGAAGATACTTTAAATTGTAAAAAGTCAAACATTTCCTTTGAAATACCACTCTTAAATTTTAAATCTTCCAATCTTCGTTGTAAAGTGCGCAAACTTGGAAGCGGCATTTTTTGTTGCAGAAGCTCTTCGTAACCATTATTACCACAAGTAAACCTTAATCTAAGTGCACGTTTAATAGTTTCATTAAGCCAATTTCATGTTCTTCGTTTTATTGTTAATAAAGCTTTAATTTGATCCTCGTTGAATACTTCCTTTAAAGCTTTTTTATATTTATCGTTATTAATTGTATTTTCAAGTCTTAGTATTTTAAATCTTAAAACTCTCATTCTTTTACGCATAAGAGTTAAATGGATTTGTATTTTTCGATTTATTTGTTCTAATTTTTTGTTTTTATCTTTTTCTTTTTTTCCATCGATTTCTGTTGTACTTGAAGTACATTTTGTTGATGTATTAGGAAATGTATTCATTATCTTTGCATTAACTTCAACGGTTTCATTTACAGCTATCTAAAAAAGTATATTTATTATAAAATATTTATTAAAAATATTTATAAATATATGTATATATTTCTTTTATGGATTTTTATCATTATTGATTTTACCTGTTTATCATTTACTATAATTTGATCTTCATTGCAATCGTCAGAAATAAACGTACTTTTATCCTCTACTACATCAAAATTTTGATTATTAAAAGGTACTTTCTTCTTTAGAAAATATCCAAAGATTGTTGGAACTGCATTTAGTTTTAATTTCTTTTTATTATCCATTCTCTGTTCCCACATTTCAGGAGCAAAATGTATCTATAATAACACAAAAGAAAACAAAAGTTTATAAAAATATTTCATATGTCATTTCATAAAATATTAGATATAATTATTATATTATTTGATTTGAATACAATGTAATGATACACAATTGAAAAGGTTATGACAAAAAAAGAAAGAATTAAATTCGTAACTAATGTGATGACTATATATATTTTATAATTAATCTGTATACATTGTATATATTACTTTTTTATTTTAATATTGTAAATACATTATTTATAAAAAAAAACTTTACCTCACATACAGATGAATTTTTGGACGGTGTCCAATTTTTATATTTACTATTTATACTGTTTACCCATTTCATTCGTCGTTCTGTATCTCTCGGGATTATTTTCATAACATATCCTTTTTTTAATGCATTATTGCAAAATAGTATTGTACATCCAACCATATTTCTAAAACAATTTCTATAACTTTAATGTTTAATAAGCAAGCTATTAATTCTATCAATGTATCTACGCTGGCTGTTACATCTAACCCTAAAATTGACATACTGTGGCAGTACTGTTGGATAGACTGAAACCGTGTATATCTCTTTCTCTCTCGCAGAATTTCGCTAAAATATGGCGTAATCTTTCTCATAGCACCACTCTGATTATAGGCTCTCTACATGGTCACTAGACCCTTGCGCCGCCGTGCCACGCCGCCGCCGCCGATAAATTATTATTCGCCGATTCCGCTACCGCCGATTTTGAAATTGTCGCTGAACAGAAATGCTATATATGTTCTATAAATATTTTATATACATTGGTTGAAGTATATTATTATATCTGCGTCATCTGTAATTTATTGAAAAATACTTAGGCTGCAGTTTATTTGAAGCTACAAAGGCTTCGAAGCATATTATTGACCAATCACAGTCGATTAATCTTCTCACTTTCGAGTTTTTCGAGTGTAATTGGACAATTTTTTACGAGTTACGACTCCTTTGAAATATGGTATATAGATATATACGACGCCGCTATTCGCCGCCGCCGCCGATAATTATCATCCGCCGATTACCGCCGCCGAAAGAGAAAATTTTCGGCGAATTCACCGCCGCCATTCTGTTTTTGCTCTAACGCCGCCGCCGGTATAATAAACTAATAAAACAGCGCACGACTCTAATGGTCACATCATACATGTCCGTTTTTGGCTGAAGATGAACTAGTGGCACTGTGCGCTTAGTCTGCGACATATATGATAGGTGTCTTTGTTTAACCTACAGGATAAACAAGGACATCTAATGTATATTATATTAGATGTCCTTGTTTATCCTGTAGGTTAAACAAAGACACCTATCATATATGTCGCAGACTAAGTGCATAGGCAGCGGCCTAAATACATGGTGTAAACGTAGTCAGTGTACACTTTTGGAAAGTGAGATTAGGTTAGGAAATCCGTCACATCGATGGCATACAGAGGAAAGCCCGTGTCCCACTACGCATTACGGACGCGGATTGGATTTGGATTGCGGATCATTGAATTCGGATTTTCCGTTCACACTACGAATTGCTACGAATTCGGTCTTCGATGTGCACGCTATGGCACAAAATTACAATTATTATTATAAACAATATGTAAGAAAAAAGTTATGTGCATCTTTGTTGCTTATGATTATGTATGAATACAAATTAAGTAGACCTAAGCGAAAAATATGGGTTCACAAATGGATAGCAAGAAGAAAAGAAAAAGAGATGCACCATAACCTTTTTTTAGAACTGTCATTGGAAGATCCTGATCGATTTAGAAGGTTTGTTATGATTTATTGCAGTTTACAGAATGTAATCTAAAACAAAATTAAGAAAATACTTAATTTACTTGAAAATTTGTTATATGTTTTAGATGCCTCAGAATGGACGCAGATACTTTCGAACGTCTGTTGATTAAAGTCACTCCTATAATACAAAAGCAAAATACTCATCTTCGAGAAAGCATTTCAGCTGAGGAGAGGCTATCAGTTACTTTACGGCATTTTGCAACAGGTAAAAGATAAGAATTTCGATTGACTGTAGTTGTATGATTTAATTTTGTCATGTGATTACATTTTTTGTATTTTGAAGGAGAAACGCAAGAATCGTTGTCTCTCTCATTCAGACTTGGTAGAAGTACCATATCAAAAATTATAAAAGAGGTAGCAACAGCAATATTTGAAGTTTTAAAAGATGAGTTTCTGCGTTGTCCTCATACTGAGGATGAGTGGCGTGCGATTGCCAATCATTTCGGAGAACAATGGAATTTCCATCATGTAATAGGTGCAATGGATGGCAAACACTGTGTCATTGATCCCCCACTAAAATCTGGGTCCATGTTTTATAATTACAAAGGAGATTACAGTGTTGTACTACTGGCTGTAGTAGATGCTGATTTACGTTTCATTTATGTTGATGTGGGAGCTAATGGCAGAGTCAGTGACTCTGGTGTTTGGAATAAATGTTCCCTCAAAAACTACCTAGATAGGAATGCTCTCAATATTCCTCCGCCTGTTCCGCTGCCAGGTACAGAAGATAATTTTCCTTTTGTAATTATAGGGAATGAAGGTTTCCCATTATCAGAAAAACTCTTAATTCCTTATCCAAAACCTCAATGTAGTGGAAAAAAAGATAAGAGTATATTTAATTACAGGTATGTAAAATATTTATATTTTTTTTAATTCTACGTAAAAAATTAAAGTAATATAGAAGTGTTCATTTATTCATATTCTATAGACTATCTAGAGCTCGTCGCACATCAGAAAATGGATTTGGTACAATGGCTGCCCGTTTCCAAATTTTTCGTTCTCCAATGCGGTATGATCCTGACGATGCTTCCAAGATCATCTTAACTATATGCTGTTTGCACAATATGCTGCGAAGTCAGTCTGTTGGACGAGCTATGTATACACCATCATCATTCTTAGATGTAGAAGATGAAATATCAGGAGAAATTCGTCGTGGAGAATGGAGAGCAGAAAACGGAAGAGGCATGGTAAACTTTGCTCACCAAGGTGGCAACCGTCATGCAAATGAAGCAATCTTGCTCAGGGACAGGTGGTGTGATTATTTTAATACTGTTGGCGCTGTTCCCTGGCAAGAACGAATGATACAGTGAATTACAGTATTTTTTAATCTACCGGATATACATATACTTTAATTAGTTAATTATTATTATTAGTTTATCATTAGTTTATTATCATTATTAGTTTATTATTATTATCATTATTATTAGTTAATTATCATTCTTTACACGGTTAATCTAATAAAAACTTTATGCCGTTTATTCTAATAACTAACTTCTTGTCCTTGACAATAATGTTAATATCTGTTAATTAAACAGCGTAGTGCATCGAATAAATCACACACGTCGCGTCAGTATAAATACTTTGATTAGTTAATGTTCGTGAGTTTATCTTATAAAAATACTATATCTTGTTAGTAATCTATCTAATGAGATATCAAAATGAAATAAGTAATTTATATGCGTCAAAATAACAAGCTATGATGTCTGAGCTTTGTATGTGTATACGTGTGCATATATGAATAATAAATTGTTTAAATGCGAATCTATATCCTGAGAGATTGTCATTTTCGTTCAATGGATAAAAGCCTCAGTCAGAATAAGAATATTTAATTCTATCATTTATTTTTTACATTGCAAAATAGCGGAGTACATATATATATGTATATAAGATAAAAATAACTGAATATATATAACAGATGTTATTGTCGCATTTGAAAGGACACTTTAAATTTTAAACTTTTTTTGAGACGGACAAAAAGAACGTTATATCATTTTTATTACAGTATAGTACAGTCTCAAATTTAATTAAAAAGAATAGCGAATTCTAATTTTTAACAATAAATGTAAATTTTTTCTGTGATAACAATCAGATAACTCTAAATATATATTAATATATATAATCATAGTTAGTGTAATACTTAATGTAATATATTGCTGATGTGTCGATATAATAAAGAACTTATTGTAATCTTGGCTCAATCAGTACTCGTAAAATCTCCCTTTCATAATGTTCTTGACAGGGTTGTTATGTTTAAAACATTTGTATTTAAAACAAATGTTTAAAATATGTTTTATACACTGTACTGTTTTAAACAAACATATGTTTTGAACAGATTTTAAACATGTTTAAAACAAGTGTTTAAATCGTGTTTTTTAAAAGGAAAATAAGGAAATACGAATTTTAGGCTAATAATATCTTTATACATTTATATATAATAATATACTTTTTTTTTTATATAATGTAAGCATGAACATATTTATATATATTAAATAACATTGAACCATGAGAATTTCAAACTAAATATTAATGATAAGGCCATTACGGTCTAGCGGGGAACTTGGATGCTTCTAATAATTCTAATATAATTAACATGTGAATTTATATACTGCGAATGTAGATTTTTATGCGTGCCGAAAATCCTTCAGACTTACAACGCAAAACTACCGCAGTAATATCACGAGTTAAATTGACAAACAATCTAACCATTTTTGATGCATATATAACGTCGGTACATAAATTCACACGTTAATTATATTAGAAGTATCCAAGATCCCCGCTAGACCGTAATGGCCTTATCATAAATATTTATATATTTTTAATATATTATATATATATATATACTTTCTTTCTCTGTTAATCTGTTACATAAAAACAAAAATTGAATAAAATTAAAAACCCAAAATCTTGATTTAAAAACTAATTTGGCAATAGTTTATATTTATTTTTGACTTATTCTGAATTTTTAGAATTTAAACTTTTCATAATAGATACCAACTTTGATGCTTTTTCTATTCCTAGTCTATTGCGTACTTTACTGTGTATAAACTATTATATCACCGAATTCACCGATGATTATTAAAACGGTCGAAAGCATTTTAACTATTAACAAAGGGGTCGCTGGAAACACTAAAAACTGTGAAAATCCGGTCACAATCGAAAAATATCTCATTCTTAAGATCTTAAGATGATCTTGAAATTAATTAAAATAAGAATAACCTATAAATATCAGATGTTTTAATAATGTAAATAATTAAATAAATGTAAATAAAATGTAAATAAAATTAAATAAGTAGTTTAACTAAAATTAAACATATTTTAAACAATATTTAAAAAAACATGTTTTAAACTGTTTTAAACATGTTTTAAACATGTTTTTTTTAAATATTGTTTAAAACATGTTTAAAACATTAAAAACATATTTGAATAAAAAAAACACAATGTTTTGTTCTTTTTAAAAAAAACATGATTTCTATCAACCCTGGTTCTTGATCTTCAGGAGTCATTGACCGCAGTCTAGATGCAACATATGCACTAAACATATCAAATCTATCCATTTTTGGAGGAGATGAGTGTTGTTGAGCTATACTTTTCACAGTATCTAGTGCCTCTTCCATAAAGTTATCCTTTTTTGAATTGCCCCGTTTTACATACATTGGGTCCTCAGCAGAACGCTTTTTAATATTTAATGAAGTAGATGCAAGTCTAGGTAGAGGAGTAGATCTTCCAGATGAGAAGCTTGATTTATTGCTTATTGTTGATAAGGGTTGTCGAACGTTGCAAGATACAAATGATTCGTTTGGACTGGAGACTGGATGAGACATGTAATTCGGAATGTTCAGACGCTTCCTTGTTTGAATGCGGTGAATCAAATGGAATTAATACGAATTGCTAAAAATAAAAAATAAATATGTTAAATGGCACTTATAAAAAACATTTTTACGTTAATACTAAATATTAGATTAATAAATAAGTAAATGACATTGAAATAAATAAAATGTTATGTAGAAAAGGATTTCGCACTTGTGTGTTTTCATCATAATGAATGTTTGTATGGTCTGATGAATTTTCTACATCATTAGGTGAAGAAATAGGTGAACAATTTGTTTCTTTACTAAGCATAGAAACTTCGTTTTGAAAAGAAAGGTTATCAATAGTGTCGGACTGTGCACAAGTTTTCTTTAAAAATAATAGTGATTTGTAATATTCCCACTTTGGTCTATAAATTTCGTCAGTTCCTTTCCCACTGCAACGAGTCTTTGTAGCCTTTATCTTTCGTTCGTTTGCACGGAAAGTGCTTTCCATACTTTGGAATCGTTTGTGAACCATATCTCCTGTGAGAAAAAAATAAAACGGATTAAATAATTTTTATATAACCTCAAAACATAATCCACTATACATTCAGTAACTAGCTATTCGTGACATATTCATGTTAATAACCTGTTCAAGGATAAATAGTCTAAGTACGAGGGTCGTTTGAAAAGTCCGTGCAAAAATAAAAACTACTTAATTTTTTGGGGTAAACTTTTTTTATTTTTCAACATAGTCACCTTTTAGGCTTATACACTTCGTCCAACGCTGCTCTAATTTGTTGATCCCTTCCGAATAATAGGATTTGTCCAAGTCTGAAAATAGCCATTTGTTTCTGCAATCACCTCCTCGTTTGCATAAAATCTTTTTCCCGCCAGCCATTTCTTCATATTGGGGAACAAATAGTAGTCCGAGGGAGCCAAGTCTGGAGAATAGGGGGGATGTGAAACGAGTTGGAACCCTAATTCCATTAATTTTGCGCTCACAACTGCTGAGGTGTGAGCTGGTGCGTTTTTGAAAATCACTCGACTTCCTCGATTCAAATGAATGCCAAACACAAACAAATAGACCGATCTGGCTAAAACGTGGTGTGTGTTCTTCCAAGAGATGCTACTAACTAAATCTAACCTTGATACGCGCCAGTAGTGCCATTTCTCTGACTTTGCACGGACTTTTCAAACGACCCTCGTATAGTTTTATTTATAAAAGTAACATAGTTTTTAGTAAATAAGATATATCGAAATACCTGTGAATCTAGGACCTAGGGCTTCCGCTATTTGGTCCCAATGCATTCGTTTTAAATCAGTTCGACGATATTCTGGTAGGCATACATCCCATAATAAAGGACGTTGTCTCACCATTTCGATGAAAATACATTCGATTTCTTTATTGAATAAATCACTTTTGGGACCCATTTTGAGATACACAATAAATGAGATACACATCTAAACCGTTAAATTTGACACGAATTGCGCATTACGGATCGTAAAAATAGAGGCTTGCCTATTTCACGATTCACAATCCGAATCTTTGGCTACTTTCATGTGATTGGCTGATCGACAATCCGTAGTTCGCAATCCAAATCCAATCCGCGTCCGTAATGCGTAGTGGGACACGGGCTTAAGTGAGGCTAAAATAAGTATTTTCTGCTTCAATTAAACAAATTGTTGTAAAATCTGTTGTAAAAAAAACATTTTCTGTTTCAAGAATACAAATTATTCTCTATATAATTTTTGTTTTTACAGCAGAGAATTTGTCTTGGTTAGATATCTGTTTACTTTAAAAAAACACAAATTATATTCTACAAAATACACATTCTCTGCTTTAATTAAGGAAAAATTATTAATGTGAGCCAACACAAGATGTTTTTCTTTGTTTATAAATCATAAGTATAAATTACAGACGTTTTGACATCATTATTGTGTCCTTTTCAAATGTATTATTGTGTCGTCTTCGAATGTAGAAATAACGTATTCCAGATATAGTAAGCAGCTTTACTTTATTTCTTTAGGACGCTTATTATATCTAGAATATTATTCCTGCATTTAAAGATGATACAATAATCTAATTAGTCACCTTCTTTCTCCTTTCTTTTCGTTGCCTGTAAATCAACACAAGACGTTTTATGTGATAACTCTCTCTCTGTCATATATTATAAATCATATAAGCATAAATTACAGACGTTTCGACATCATTATTGTGTCCTCATTAAATGTGGGAATAACATATTCTAGATGTAGTAAGTTGCTTATGCAAACTAGATGCTACTGCATCTAGAATATGTTATTTATATATTTGAAGCAAACACAATAATGATGTCGAAACGTCTGTAATTTGTACTTATTATTTATAATGTGACAGTTATCTCACAAAAAACGTCTTGTGTTGGCTCACATTGGTAATTTTTTCTTAATTGATTTCTGTTATAATTTTTTATCATGGTGAACATTATTTCTGTTGTTTGATGTCTTAAATTACAGACAACGAAAATAAAGAAGAAAGAACATGGCCAATTAGGTATTTTCTGCTTAATCCGAAATAAATTGATCGCACTGATATTGGTGACGAGATGGTTTGTGCTGTTACATCGACAACCTTTTATGACCAATAAGCTATTTACATCGCCAGTGCGACGAAGAGCAAGAAAAAGATCGGTATATTATGATATCTTGGTTGACATACTTCTTTATATACAGGGTGAGTCATTTTAATCTATGGACCCGAATATCTTCCAAATTACGGTATCTACAAAAAAATGGTTTAGATAAAAGTTGACCAGGACAGAGGGGGTCATTTAATTGTACCATTAGTTTTGACCTTGAGGTCAATTTTGAAGGTCATTTCAAGGTCACGATGGTTTTTTTAAATGGGATATCCTATTTTTGACTGCGGATTTCGAAAGAGCGGAAAATTTTACATCAAACTTGTCTTATGAAAAAATTGTTTTTGCGACCTTGGAAAGGTAAAAAATGAAGGTCAAATGCCTGAAAAACGATCTGGTGTACTTTTTCTGAAATGACGTGGTTTTTTGGCTAACACAAATGTGCATAATGCTTGAAACAAGTCAATGAATTGTAAAAGTGTAAATCACTTTGACTAGCTTGACCTTGAGGTCAATTTTCAAGGTTGTTTGAGGCTCATAATGCATTTTTTTATTAGTAAACCCTATTTTTGACCGCAGAACCTGTTTTTTGACAATGGGCTCTTAAACAATGGCACTTTTTACATGAGCATAGGGATTTTTTAGTTTTTCGACTTGACCTTTTGAAGGTCATATCAAGGTCAAAAGCACTTTCATCTTACTTTTAGCGTTACCCGGAAACAACGACGTGAACGTAGTAAGTTCTGTTTCCTTTAGAGTGCTTGATTATCGTGATTATCAGGTATTTGACCTTCATTTTTGATCTTTCCAAGGTCGTAAAAACAATTTTTTCATAAAACAAGTTTGATGTAAAATTTTCCGCTCTTTCGAAATCCGCAGTCAAAAATAGGGTGTCCCATTTAAAAAAACCATCGTGACCTTGAAATGACCTTCAAAATTGACATCAAGGTCAAAACTAATGGTACAATTAAATGACCCCCTCTGTCCTGGTCAACTTTTATCTAAACCATTTTTTTGTAGATACCATAATTTGGAAGATATTCGGGTCCATAGATTAAATTGACTCACCCTGTATATATATATATATATATATCAAAAGATTCTTAATTTTACATCAACAAGAAAAATTTTTATATATAAGAATTCATACGGATTTCTGTTGTAATAATAAATTATTCAAAGACTTCATTCAATATTTAACATTTAAATTAAGGAAATATTGTCAATGTGAACCAACAAAAGACGTTTTTTGTGAAATAACAATCATATATTATAAATTATAAGTATAAATTACAGTAGTTTCGACATCATTATTGTGTCCTCTTTAAATGTAGAAATAACGTATTCTAGATGTAGTAAGTTACTCGTACTGCATCTAGAATATGTTATTTATATATTTGAAGCAAACACAATAATGATGTCGAAACTACTGTAATTTATACTTATAATTTATAATATATGATTGTTATTTCACAAAAAACGTCTTGTGTTGGTTCACATTGGCAATTGTTCCTTAATTGATTTCTGTTAAAATTTTTTATCTTGGTGAACATTATTTTTGTTGTTTGTCTTAAATTACAGGCAACGAAAAGAAAGGAGAAAGAAGATGGCCAATTAGGTATTTTCTGCTTAATCCGAATTAAATTAATCGCACTGGTGATGAGATGTTTTGTGCTGTTACATCGACAACCTTTTATGACCAATAAACTATTTACATCGCCAGTGCGACGAAGAGCAAGAAAAAGATCTGTATATTATTATATCTTGGTTGCCATACTTCTTTATCAAAAGATTTTTTTAATGTTACATAAGCAAAAAAATTTTTTATATTTAAAAATTCATACGGATTTATGTTGTAATAATAAATTATTCAAAGACTATTCAATATTCATTTATTCAATATTCATTTAAAAATGTAGAATTTTTTTATTTGTGCCCCTTTGGGCCCTCCGCGTCCTCCGCGTCCTCCAGGGCCTCCGCGGCCTCCGCCGCGATGTCCGCGGCCTCCGCCGCGATGTCCGCGGCTGTGCCGGCTCTTTTCCCAACGTCTAGCTGTAATAAAGTTGAAAATGATTAAAATTTAGTACATGAAAATTGAGATTTGGATAAGTTAATAGTAGCAAACCATTGTATATACAAAGCCATGGGATCTCCCGCGGGGTGCGGGGCCGGGGGGAAAACTGGGCGAGGGGGGGG